ATTGTTTAGGTATAATCCATTTGCTTTCTGTGCATACTGATGCTCCAGTATCAACATATGCATGTACTGTAAATTTTCTATATCCTTCAAACCTTAGTTTTATAGGAATATAGATTGAATTTGAATTAGTAATATTTTTATTACTCATCTTCAGATGATTCTGTCTCTGAATAATCATATTCAGAATCCGTAGTTAAATAATACAAAGATCCTGTATAACTTTTATCTTCTACTGGGTAGAAGCCTTTCTTTTGGAATGTGTCAAGGAGTTTAATCATTTCTTCATTTCCAAGTCTTGCTGGACATTCATTAGCATAATGTACTCATTCATTACAGAGCCAACATCTGCAATTCTTTTTCTTTTGTGGACAAAATTTCTTTTTATCCAAACTTTGTTTTCTTCCCCCTTGGGAAAACTTCAGTCTTTTAAAGAATCTTCGCTTCTTAAAAATTTTTTGTTTATAAGTTTTCTTATAACTCTTAAAAATGTATTTTTTTTCTTTTTAAAAGACTTTTTCTTTTTCTCTTTTTTGGATGGTAGCATAACCTGGGATTCTTGGTTATAGCTTGTCTATTATCTCTTATCAAAATATTTTCTTTACATTTTTCTGCCAAAAGATTTCTTGTTAAGGTAATGACTAACCCTAAAGAGGATTCAACTTTAACATTAAGTTTTGGATCAATATGATTTTCTTGTTTGATCATGGCATTATTAAACATTTCCATAACCTCGTGGTTAAAATTTTCAGGAAGTTTTCTAATAAATTTTTCAATTAATTCTCCCCATTTATCATAAGGGCTAATATAAAAATATTTTGTAAATTCACATGCATAATTCTCAAAATAGCACATATCACATATATAAATTTTTTCTAAATGATTCAATGCATCTGCTATTTCAATTGTTGTCCATTCACTTTTAAAAACCTTAGAGGTTTGTCCAGTAAACTGTTTGTAAAGTTGTTCAATAATTCTTTTAACAAATTGCAGAATATTATAATGGGCATCTCCCCATATAACATTCTTTACATTGTTCTCGAATCTTTCTAAAAATGATCTGACATTTCCTCTAGTACTTGCTAAAACATAATTCCATGAATTAGCTTCATTTTTTATGATTTCTTTATTAACAATCATAGCAACCATAATATGACTATACCATGCATCAATAAGCTTTTCTGGTTCTAATGTACAATCTAGATCCAAAATAGAAACTTGCTGGTTTCCTTTCTTTGGAATAACCTTTCTTTGGAATAAAATCAAGTTGTAATAAGATATGTCCTAAGTCTTCGTTAGCTAGTAAACTTTTAGGGGTATTATCTCCTAAAGTTCTCTTCCCGTCTCCAACTAGATTGGAACTTGATGGTTCTGTAAAATTAGTAGCCATTTCTGGTTTAGGTTCTTTTATAACAATTCCAGGTTCCCCATTATTATTGAATTGTTCATGAATTATGACTTCTTCTTTTGAGTCACTATCATTAAGATTTTCATTAATATTTTCAGTTATAAATTCCGAATCTATTGACTTTTCATCTTCAGATTTTACTGTCATCATGGTTTCTTGGTTACCTATATTAATATTCTTAACAATAGTTACAATTTTTGTAATTCAGAGTCTTCAAATGCAAGAAGTACATTTAGAAGTCCTAAGTCTTGGCTTTCTTCATAAATGTTTTCAAGATTTTTTCTAAAGCTTGCCATATCAACTTAAAAAGTTAATAATATCAAAGTTTCCTTCAGTTTTCTTTGTATTGACTTATATGCACCAAAAGACTCAATAGGTTGAAAAAACTCATGGACGAAGCTCACAATACACCATTTTCAATATACCCAGACACCATAAAGATGTACCAAGAAATAAAGACCCTCTATTGGGGGCCCGGAATGAAGAATGAGATTGTGGGATATTTTTAAGAAGTGTTTAGCATACCAACAAGTAAAAGCTGAACACCAAAGGCCCGTTGGATTGCTACAACCCTTACCAATACCCGAATGGGAATAGGATATAATATCTATGGATTTCGTAACAGCTCTTCCTTGAACCACGAAGACTCACAATGCGATTTGGGTAATTGTTGATCGACTAACAAAGACCGCTCATTTCCTGCCAGTACGGATGATTTACCGAAATGAACAATTTGCTACTCTATATATCCAAGAAATAGTCAAACTCAATGGTGTCTTCGTCTCTAATTAAGACCCGAGATTTTCATCCAACTTCTTAAAAAGCTTACACAAATTCAACACTACTTTTCACCCATAGACCGACCGACAATCTGAGCGCACTATTCATACTCTAGAAGATATGCTACACGCGTGTGTATTGCAATTTAAGAGAAGCTAGGACAGATACCCCTAATTGAATTCTCGTACAACAACAACTACCATATATCTATTGGAATGCCACCATTCGAAGCATTATATGGAAGAAAATGTCGATTACCACTACACTAGGATGAAGTTAGGAAAGACATATTTTGGGACCCGAAATGACGCAGGAAGTAAAAAACACGATTGATAACAACCCAAAGTCACCAAAAGCGTTATGCATATTCACGAAGGTAACCACTAGAATTTAAATTCGACGAAAAAGCATTCATCAAAATTTTCAAAATGATGGAAGTCAACTATTAGACATTATCGTTAAAATATTTGTGTATGCACTTGGTGCATACCTATTCACACAGGGTAGGCACTTGGTGCATACCGTGTGCCTACTTGGTATGCACTAGGTGCATATCAATCATTATTTTATTTTATTTTTGATTCTTTTACCTTTAATTTCATGTGAGCTTCTTTTCAGACTTCTGATTGTACTTTCACTTCTATTTGTAATGTTAAAGTGAAATGTGTATGTGCGCGTGTGTGTGCGTGTGTATAGATATAGATATAGATGTTTAATGCTGTGTATAATTGTTATAGATATGTTCAGATATTTGCAGATATGGTGAATTTGAATTGAGTAATTGTGAAGAGACTCCTCGCGTAAATAGAACTGGCTTCACCCATTTCAACCTTGGAAGGTTAACCCCCTACTACCCTATGTTTAACCCCTATAACCTTATTAATTTATTACTTTCGTTATATATATAATTATTAAATAGCAAATTATTAAAATATATTTAAAGATTGGATGATAAACATTTCTTCGAGTATTTAAATTTGTAGTCGTTAAATTTTCTTGATGTGTTATATTAACGATTTGTCTTACTTTGTTATATAATTTTATAGTATTTGAATGAAGAATATTTTTACAATAAGAAGTATACCTGAGTTTGAGATAATTCTGTACGAGTCGGGTAAAATTTATTAAGTCTATCATCGTAAGCAGCATCTCTGTTGCAACCACATATGTAGTCATTCCTTCACGAATTTTATTTTGTGAAATATTAAAATGTGGAAAGAGTAAAACTAGAACCTCCAAACACTAGTTCGGTCTGTTTCAGATCGAAACCAATTTGTTTCGCTTTACAACTTCTTAATATGTGCATATTCAAATGCGTTGTACTTGAATCGAGTTTCCAACTAAGTTCTTAGCCACAGTAATTGCAACATACTTTCCAAATATCACCTCCATTATGACCACCAAATTTTTTACGAGTCATATGTTGCCAACTATCCGCAGACTCTTTTTTCGACAATTTAACATCGACTACAAATTGCAACATACTTTCCAAATATCAAATCCATTTTGAACACCAACTAGTTTACGTGTCATATGTTTCCAACAATCCGAGAATTCTTTTTTCGACCTTTTAGTCTCGAATACTTCTTCCTCTTTGACATCCTCCAAATCAATTGGAACATTTTGAGATACAAAGCAACCGGATGAAATACTCGAATTACCTTTAAACTGATTAATTTCAACATGAGTAAAATTCATCTATGATTATTATAGCAAAAGATATTGAATATTAGAATAATGAAATTGGAGGTTGAATTTGAAACTAGAATACTGTAAGTTAAAACTGATTTAAATAAATTGATATGAAACTCAAAATTTTATCTCATATTTATAACAATATATTTTATTTTTTTTAGTTTTGTAATAAGGTTGTTGCCTGCAATAACAGGCATCTACACATATTAGCTATATGTAGCTACCTGCAATAGTAGCCTGTTGATTTTATTCATTTATTTATTTATTATATTTTTAAGGCTCGGCTCGTTTCGGGCTGGCTATGACTTTTTTCAGACCGAGGCACCGGTCACCCAAGCTGGCTAGCCAATGACACCCCTAGGTCGAACATTCTCTAAGGACAAGGCATTTTTAATCATGAGCTAGGACCTATAGGTGGCCCTTGACGTTAGCATTAACGATAATCGTATGAGTAATGTTATTCATCACAATTGGTGTTAATTACTAGTTCATATGACAATTATATGGTATTAAATGAAGAAAAGATTTGGCTCTACCCGGTCTAAAACGAAGAAAAAAGATTATAGTGGTGATCTTGTGTCTCTTGATCTTTGTTTCAAATAAAACAGCATTCTAGAAATCATTTATAACATCGTTGGTATAATAGAACGACCAAACACATATATAAGATATTCAAGCAAGATTATAGATATAGGTCAATCCGTGTTTAAGGGATTGAGTAATGCTATTCATAGTTGTTTACTGCAGTAGTCGCCCTATGTGGCACATACGTGGTATGTAGTTATTTGATGCATTAATATAGTAATTTTTTTTACCACATTAATGCATTAAATACACACTTGACATGTGTGTACCACATATGACGACTGCTGCAGTAAGCGACTGCAAATAGCATTATTCTAAGGGATTAGTGTACAATATGATTAAATAGAACAATCTAACTCCAAAATAATATCATTTAATGTAAGAGTAAGTACAACTTACAGAAAAGAGAAGAAACAAGAAAGACAATACATCGTATATTTAATGACAGAAACTAATTCAGAACTCACAAAGATCATATCTATGACTTCGAATTTTTTCTTCACCAATATTTTCAAGAAACATTTAAACCCTTGTCCTAGAAGTGGCTCTTCCCTGTATACCATTATAATTTCCAGAAAAAGATGATTTCATCGATAACAAATCGATCAAAAGACTAGCAAAATAAGCCAAAGTATGGAACCTGCAATGCTTGAAAATGGCATTAGGCATCCGTAGGCTGAGTTAGGTAGAGAAGGGTAAGCATCGGGTGGAGGAAGTTTGCACTCATCCCCATTGAAATAAATTTTTCGAGGAAATGCCCATCCCTGTTTCAGTGTAAATATCTCCTTGTCTTTCCTTAGGAGCACCTCAGTTTGAACATTTCCAGAAGGTCCAGCTTCCATCAACAAGTCATTGTAAAACTTCATGCCATAGAACATGGCAGTATCATCTGCATATCATTCATGAAGTAAAAATTTGTTAGTACAGACTATATTAATCTAGAAAGTTTAGAAAAGTGAAGAAATGATGACAATTAATCGAGAAAATATAGAAAAACTAGAATAGAAACGACTGAATTTGTGTGGTTTGTATGCTAACAATGACCAACCATGTATTGTTCTCGATAAATCTGGGGTCGGATACAATTTTTTTTCCCCAATAAACTAAGAAAGGATTAATCAATGTTCAAGTTATGACTAGATTTAGTGGAAGATCTAAAGCAGCAAGATCTTTACTTAGCGATTACAATTGACAATGTTAGTTTTGGTCTCTGTCTCCTCTTCAGATGTGTTTTACAAAAATCGAATCACTCTTATGAACGGAAGCCCTTTTATGTTTATGAACTGCCTAAGTCATTGTTCCCCAATTTATGTTAATTTGCATCACCTGCATCATCTCCACTTTTTAGCAAATATTCTTAAGAATTAAGCTAAATGTACAGAAAATGGGTTTACAGAACTTCTACCACCTCTCACATGAGGTGGGTCCCATGTGGGATCAAGCTCATTAAAAAATAGATAAAAAATTTGTCGACCCCATGCCTTGTGAGTGATCGGTGGGGGTTCTGTGAACAGAACCCCCACCTCTGTAAGCCAAGCTTGGTTCTATTCTTAATTCACAAAACCCATTTTAGTCCATGTTTCGTGTCCATTGTTTTAAAACATTTTTTTTTGTTGCAGGATCATTGTCAATCACACATTTACACAATAAAATATTCTGTACATAAATTTAAAATTTTTCCATACTTTTTAACTATACATTCTCCTAAAAATACTATTCAAGACTTTTTTTTTTCTAAATAATAAGTAATGGACACCAAATGGGGGCTTAGTATGAACACACCTGTCTTGGCATTTTTTTCCCTCTACCTTCATCTTATGGTTATTTTATCATTGAACATCCAACAATCAGAACCACAAAACATAGCAACACCTTAATAAATTTACCATGTATGCGGGACACCACAGGAACTTACGTAACCTTCAACTCCCCATTCACGAACTAAGCTTCTTTTTCTCCATCCGAAAAACCATTTTTGTTATACTAAAACTTCATTGAATCATAATTTTCGAACAAATAATAGGCATCAATGCATAATCAAGATCGAGTCTTCAAAAATAATAATGCTTTCTAGCACCAGTTTAGGTGTCAACATGTGACAGGTCCTGATATATGTGTCATAAATTCTTGTATTTAATTGAACCTGTAATTTAATGACACAAATTGGGTCACCTAAACCTGTGTTAAACACTAGTGTTGTTAAATAGCATTACTCCTTCAAAAATTATGCGAAGAAGAGTGTAGATTTTCATGTGAACTTACTGATGGACTGATAGGGGACTAAAGGCTTGTAATCGAAGCTGAAAACTTGAGTGACATTGTTGAGACTGGGATGCTGAGCCACGAGCGTCCACTGTGTATAATTCATTTTGTAATTGAAATTAGTTATGGCAATTTTTACGCGCCAATAGTCCTTGTAATTGATCTTCACGTGCCAATGGACTCGTATGGGACACATATGATGAGTGCATTGGAGAAGTGGTGCATTATCCTTTCTTGGAGTGTTTATTCCCACTGTTTTTAGTTTGTATGAATCGCTCCTGCATTGTGTTGAGATCACAGAAAAATAGTCAATCAAGAAGGTAAATAGCAATCTTCTAAGCTTTCATCAAAATAAAATTTGTTCTATATTTATTATCAATGCACTAGACTGTCTCATAGGCAAGTGAAACTCGTATCTGATACGACTAGAATTGTGCATTGCCCTCAACCAACTTACTTATGACTTGTTTGGTAAAATGGACTGCACAGCACTTAGGCAGTTTTAAGGGAAAAAAATATTCACTATGCTATCCAATTCTATTGAGTAGAGCGCACCAACCATGCTCTCGTGATTCAGTGAAGTATATAAACATGAAAATATATTTGACACGAGCACAAGGAGAAAAAAGAGTTAAAATCGTGTTCACTATACTCTCCGGTTCTGTTGAATAGAGTGCATCAAACATGCTCTTATGGTTAGGGCCGTATATAAACATGAGACTGTATTTGACACAAGCATAATGTGCACTGCACTCCAGTAACACTCTAATGATTCACTCGCAAACATAAACTATGAGACTGGAAAAGATTTATATGTTCTTCAGAAAAACTAATCATAAAACTTGCACTTCGAATTGAAACTATAACTCACTTTATGCAATCTTTCTTGCCCTGGCAACCACAAGAACAAGATGGGCAAGGAGTGATTGTATTGTTGTAGAAAGACGAGAAGGAAACACAACAGCTTGGATTCTTGGATGCTAGGAATTGTGAGTAAGTGCATGTCACGTTCCATGTCACTGCAGAAAATAAATCCAAACCAGTATGATTTCTAAACTAGATATTTGATAAATATCAAGAGCTTGTTTGGTATGCAATATTAGATAAGATGGAGTCAAATACTGTCTAGTCTTCTTTACCATACACGCGAAATTGTGTGACATGAGACAAATTTATAAAGATCAAGAATAGGTCAAGAGTTAATATTGCTCACTCAATGCTTGAGTTTTTCTTCGATGATCTGGAGTAAGATACATGGTGGAAGGCACAATTGTAGCAGGGCCACAAGAATAGCCCGGGCCGGGACCAAGCAGGACGAAATTCTTGGGGAGTTTTACGGTCTTATTTGAAGTTCCAGAAAGTCCAACGCTCACTTGAAAGGATGAAACTGCCCCTTCAGGGTCTTGTCCATATGACGACATTACCCCAGCCTTGCAGCAATTGGCAATCTGTTGATTATAAGGTACTCCAGGAAGCAAATCTACAACTATGGGGTTTTTCTTACAACAATGTGGCACATTTCCTTTAAACTTTGAACAATCCCCTTGTTCTGTTGCTTGTGCCCCTACTATTGACCATATCACTTCTTTCTTTTGCCATTGCCATCCTAAGGTCCACCCAGGGCTCGGGATGTGTCGATACATTTGAAAGTTGTTCATTGTCACAAGTGCCTGAATAAGGTATCACGACTTTATTTTTTCAAAATTTACGTTAAGTTGGTGAGTAAAAAGATTAATGCAGCGATCCCATGGACCCCAAGTTATCAAGAATAAGGCTTAGTTAATATAACTTACCACATATCCATCCGCCGTCCAAGATATGACATCCCATTTCATTGTAATGTTCCCAAATGGATCCAAAGGATCATATGCATCTGAAAGGTTAGTGAAATGCAAAACACAAACAATAAAATGATTAATAATCCGACTATTGATAAGCGCGAAATGTAATAGATAAGAGAAAACATAAATAATACCGGCTTTAAAAAAGACAAAAGCTATGAAGATAGCACAGAAGCTGTATTTCTGCCGCATTTCCTGATAGAATTTAATAGAATTTCAAGTTTTTAGTAAAGAATCTTTACGCTTGACATTGGAAAAATGAAAATTCTGCGTGTTAAGTAGAAAGTGCAAAGCAAGCATGTTGATTGCACACCTAACGGTGGTTGGTACTTCATATGATTTTTGTATCATTAAAGATCTATGCTATCACTTAAGTTGTCTGTTTGTCATGCATGCTTCAAAGGGAAGATACAAAAAGTAAGGAAAAATGAGACATTCGAACACAACAGCTTATAAGTCGTGATCGTGGTGCTACGTCGTTTTTCCAAATAATTTGTATAAATTCCAAACCAAAGTCCCGCTAGGAAAAATCAAAGAAAAGAGAAGTTCTATACAGAATATGAAAACAAGACCAAGTAAACAAGTCAAATTGAAGTCAACAAGACACTCAATAAAGACTGCCCACCTTTATCCCTAATGAAAATATGAGGAGATGATGAAAAGGTGGAGCTTCAACTTTCAAGTCAATATTTCACAACCACTATCTTATATAGGTTTAGACTTTGTTTTCTAAATCGAGCACATGACCTACATTGGGACAGCCATGACGCTTCTCCTCGCACTTGTTAGTAATGTAGACTGGAGTCGAGAGGTAGTAGAGTTGGAGAAAAGATAATTGGAAGAGTTGAATTTCATACATCAATCTATACCATCATTCTTTGGAAGACGCATTCATTGGAAAAGTTTGATTTTGGATATCAACATCTAGGTTTCATTAGAATCAATCAAAGCAGCCTCGGAATGAAACTTGGAAAACTCTCCAAGCAACTCCAAATTGAATAAGTACATCACGGAATATCTAGCAAGAGCACCCTCTTGAACATGTAAAGATGGTTCTTTAGTCATATCACCACATTAATATAGTCGCATTCTAGGAACGAGATGTTGAGAGAACGTGATTTAGCCCCTATTTGGTACCCATTGTTTTAAAACTCTTTTTGCTACAGTATCATTTTCAACCACATATTCATACGATAAAATATTCTACCTGTAAATCCAATATTTGTCACTACTTTTTAACAATATATTTTCCTAAAAATACTATTCAAAACTCTTATAATTTTATTTTTTAAATAATGAGCACCAATCAGGGGCTTAGAAAATCGTAATCCTTCCAAAATGGCTTAAAACTCAACAAGATAAGATGTCCATGATAAAATTTTGAAAGCTTCGCCGTAACCTAACTTCATGGTTGCGCACAGCCCCTTCGATATTATAACCATCACCATTTGTTATAAGGATGGCGTCTACTTTTATTATTAATTATTAATTATTTGATTAATGCTATTTAGCATCAATGATATTACAAAATTAGTCTAAGTGATATTAAGTGTCATTAAATGAAATTTACAATTAAATAAATAATTTTATCTTTAATTGAACATATCGCATGATGTCACATAGATTGATAGCTGATGTACTAACACTACTGGTACTAAATAACATTATTCTAATTATTTTTATTATTGTTGTGATTGCAGTGTCAACAGTGTCATGGTTTCGACATCCACCGGTAATAACTGTGTGCCACTAAAATGCAGCACATCCAAGAAACATGAGATGAAAAGAGAGAGAATCCCGAAAACCATAGGAATGGGTGGTGTTGGAAAGTAATTCAAGATCGTCAACCCCCTCATAGGGATCTCAACCGAAAGGACGGTGGCAACCATCTCCGTCTCCATCCTGCCAAGGAGGCGAGACAAGGACGAAGCGGAGCATTTTGCCATCCCTACCTTCTCTCATCCTGTGCGGGGCCCGGGAGGAGGGTCGAGGAGAAAATATGAATGGCTTTCCAATCCACCAATCCCCATAGATTTCAGATTATCAGCTCCCATTTCAGATCAGTTGGCATTCTGTCAACAAAATGTATCTGCCCACAAACATGGGGCAGAGGGCATATGCAATATATAGTGGAGGGGCAGTGGGGCTAATCAAGAATGGATAAGGATCAAACGTGTAATTGTGTATCTTTATTTTATTCACAATTTGTCAAAATCAACAATGTCATGTGAAAGCAAGGGCGGAGCCAGCTAGTTGAACTAGAGGGGTCTCGGAGTTAAAGGGGTGGGGCCCACGGGCTGCCCTCGAAATTTTTTTTGAAATATTATGTGTTAAAATGAGGAAAGTTGTTATTTTGTGATAGAGAAAGGAAACAACGGAATATAAATTAATGTACGAAAACTTAACAAAAAAATCAAGAAACGTATAGAAGAAAGTATTAATCTTTAATTTAGCAAAATCATATCTTATTACAAGTGTTTCTTTCGAGTTCTCATACTTTGAGAAATTAATGCCAATATCAAAAGCTTGTATAATAACGAGTATACTTCATATTTTTTTGTCGCAACCAACTTTTGTGCAAGTTCGTAAAGACCTTGTAATCCTACAAATTCTGGATTAGTTCCAGGACTCGCCCCACCTCCACCCCTATGTGAAAGAGAAGGGTTAAAATTTTCTTTTCTAAAACATAAAATAAAATAATGATGTGGGATAAATTTCATCTACGTAGTCACTGAACCTTCAGAAAATTCTTTAGGTCACTATACTTTAATATAGTTTCGAATTTAAAACAATGAATCTTCCACATCATTGCTATGCCGCATATCAATATAACACATCATAAAAATGTTAAAACAAAAAAAACACATCTTTTATTGTCTTAGCCCATGTTTGTTTCGGATTAAAATCTGATTTTAATCCGAATCAAACAATCAATATTAACCACATATTTCATATGTCCCACAACTTTTCAATCACACATTTCAAAAACTTCTATCAAAATCTACCAAAAATCTAATTTTAATCTCTACCAAACACCCTCTTAATTTAGAGATTTGTCATAACTGTAATTTTTGTTATTTTTGTTTCTAGACTATTGTTTAGCAATTATGTAAAAGATTGTTACAATATGGTTAAACACGAAACAATTTTCATCAGTTTGAGAGACAATAGGTGAATAAATGAGAAAGAGTAGTGTTGACCTCAAAATGTGCTGCCAACAGATGTCGGATCCACTCGTGCATGCGTAAGCTGTATCCAACACGTAAAGACAGATCAACGATCGGGATCACTCCACAATTGGACGTGGGAGAAGCTCAACGACACGTGACGTTTCCGTTCGGGTTCCGGCAAGATATCCAAAACAATTGTATAAAAATAATCAATCGCTATGAATGTAGATCCAAGACCGGAAATCAATATATAAGAAAGTAAAATCAATTGCTCCAAGTATCTAAAGTTGCATTAGCCTTTAATTGTTACATGATGGGATTTTTTTTATAGTATTACAAACAGAATGGTAACCCTCAGATGGATACACGTGGCCTCATCTTATCGGTCGAGACATCAAATCCTAGCTATCATATTGACTTTCTTAGATCTACAAAGCATGTAATACTCTTACACCATATTGACAAGACAAGACACAAATACACTTTTTACAGACTTCACATCAATGGCTCAAATAAGATCTCTATAATAAATTCAAGATCTCTGTACGTAGGCCGCAACTAATTGGAGTGGAGCCTCGGATCTGAGCCTCCTTGGCACGTCCACCTCGAATTAATAATGGGCCTCAGAAATTACCATTTGGGCATCGTCTTCTATGACTGGTGGTTCAGCAGGCATGGGTCCACAACTTCACTGGGCCGGCCACGTGGCAAATGCTAGTACCAAGTCATAACAAGTAGTAAAATTTGAAACTATATTGAAGCTTAGTGACCCGATTGAGACAGATTAATAAGTTTAGTGACCTAATTGAGATTTTGTTGAAAGGTCAATGACCAGGGTGAAATTTACCCTTTTCTCTAATTGTCTGGTTGTATAGTTTTATAAAATAACAGTTTTCACTATTTTCATTTTAACCAGCAGACGGCATAAATTATACTTTTTAAGAAGTCAAAATTACTATTTTCAAGTTCAACTATTATTCTTGATGGTTTTCACTGTTTAACGTTGTGATGCATGCACAAATCCGACAACTAACGATCATAAAGATAATATTCGTCTTTTTACTCTATTTTTTAAACAATTTTTATAATTATACCATACTAAAATAATATATCTTACCAAACAGAAAACAATCCTGCTACACGTACATTTTTGTTGATATGAAGCCTCCATTTGATCCCCATTTCATATTTCTCATTATAATGAGGAAAAAATGGATATCAAATATATTCTAAGTTTAGCATTGTTGTAAAGTGATAATTTTTTACACATTAATTTTAAAAACACTTTAAAAATATCAAATATATTCTAAGTTTAGCATTGTTGTAAAGTGATAATTTTTTACACATTAATTTTAAAAGCACTTTAAACAATCAATGATACAAATTTTAACAACACATAAAGTATTAAACTATCAAATGTGTACGGCTAGTTTAATCCAACAGAAATATATTTGTTTGATCTTGTGTTTCACCATTGCTAGTCGTCCATTTTCAATCATGAGGTGTAATAATTTCAATATAAAATTGGTAAATTAAGTTTTATTATAATATAATATAAACCCATTAATTGTTACAAAAAAATAAAATATAATAAAATAATCGATTGCTCGTTGAAATTTAAAATGTCGAGTTTTGACCGCTATATTTATCCAAACTTTGGACGCTACTCACTAACATAACATCCATTTCAAATTGTTTATGGAATTGGTGACGTGGCCAATGAAATGCATAGGTGACGTCCGATCACATCATTACCAAACTGCCACATAAGAAAACGTTTTTCATTGCTCACTACACTTTGGAAAAACATCTTCAATTGCTCACTATACGTTAAAAAATGTCTTCAATTGTTCACTGAATTTTAAGGTAGTCGAATTTTGATCACTAAACTTATAAAAATGACGTTGACTTGTTGTTCATTATAAAATATGTACCACAAGTTAACGTGTCGCATAAAAGTAATAAAATGGACAAACGAGTTCGGATTATCGATTCCATGGGGATTGATTGCTCAATTACAGA